TCTCAATCAATATCGGTTGACTTTAACATAATTCAGACAGTTAAAATATTTTAGTTTACATCTGTGAATATAAAGGACGACCAAAATGATAATAATCATTGCCTTTAATATTCGGTGTTTGTCCGTTTCTGAATGCAAATTGTATGGGATAATCATTTCATTCATTGAATTTTTATTTGATTGAGGCAGAAAGGATTATTCGCTAAAATTGCATAATCAGAATTAAAAATATTTGCATAATTAGAATCGCAATGGTTTAATATCGTTTTTTTAATTACAGTAAAAATATGATGCAAAAGGGAGGAATTCTGAATCTCCAACCATCTAATCAAAACCATACGTTCTCCGAATGTTAATCCACTTTAAATTAATGTCGTAGCGTATCTTATCAGACATTCAAGTTGTGTTATTGCCGCACCACGATAGGTTTTGCTGACCAGCATGTACATCACAAGGTTGAATACCCTGCAGTTACTAATAATTACTTTTCACTTAATCATTCTCTGTTCTCAATGTATATATTTGTACAAATCGTTTTTCATTGAAACGTACAAGCTTTGCAGCATCATTCGTCTGATATCAATTGTCCATTGTGCATCTCTGATTCAAAGTGAGGACTTTTGATTGGGTCTAAACTCATAGATATAAGAGTGAAGGAGGATTTTCAGTGCTAAAAAAAAAAAGATGTTTCAGGTTGGAATTACATTAGCCGTACTTTTCTTAATGAGTTGCAAATTTAAGCAAAAGCCTACTTAACAGTACTGATTCTTTCAATTTTAGGAATTAGATCAAAGTAAGGGAGGAATAAAATTCGAAATATCGCTTCAATCTCTTATAATATTTTCAGGATTGAGTTACTGCGACCGTTGTTTGCTCTTAAATGAAAAAAACGACAATAGTCGATGATTCATTTTGATCTGTGAGGTTTCATATTTCTGACAAAAATACGAATTTATACAATTCATCCAGAGGCTTTCACGTGACAGGAAATATTCTGTTGATTCCAATTTCTATGAAAACATGTTTGTAACAGTATTACTTTTTTGCATAAATCATCTGGACAATTTATATTTCACAGTGCATGCTATTCAGTACAAAAGAGACAACTGAGATTAATTTCGATTTTTGTGAATGCAATAATTTTTTTGATTTTTGATTGAAATTATGTTCAACATAAAAGGCTCATCTTTTTGTTCAGAATTCACAACCAGCTTGTTTGTTATTACAAACTGTCCCCTCAAATTCGTTTCGATAAATTTGTCTCATTTTATAGTTTTGACTATTCATCATGGCTAAAACACGAATGACAGAATTTATTTTGATTGTTTCACACTGAACCACAATGAATTTAGGCCTGACTCTTACTTGTATTACCTACCAATCATTTACTGTTGCTCATCAAAAGAAATCATGCAATAAACTGGCCAAATATAAAAACTTCTCTTATGAAAGAATAATTCGTAGAAAATTGCATATTTTAGCAAGCAGATTAATCACAAATCCAAAATGATTGGGTCCATTTAAATAAACTTCTAAGAAATCGGAATTACCTGATAATTATAAAATAATTCGGCAAGGTCGTGCAGGCTACTATCGAAATCATTGAATACATTTGTAATTTGCAGCTTGGATTTTAAATGCCTTGGTTCCTTACAATAGCGATGGATTTTAAATGCCTTGTTATCTTTATATTCGTTGTGGGCCGTATAGTATCATTTAATACAGGTAGACTTTCTGAATTTTTTAATTTTAACTTTAAATGAAATTTTTGAAATTATATTTTAGTCAGTGTGATACCCTATCCATAATCAGGGAACTGAAATGAATTTCACTGCATGATGCATTTGCTGCTTAAATATCTGAAAGGCAAGAAGTTCAAAAAGAATTTAATTGAAATTCAGGAGAAATAGATGACCGAACGTACAACGAAAATGAAATTCAGTATCTTAACAATCTATTAAAGAAAGCTTTCACTTGTAGAGAAGTGGGAGATAAAATTGCTGCTGGCTTATCCGACGAAGATTTAAAAAATATGGCGTTAGCAATTATCTTTTACTCATATATTATTACGCTACAAATATTCCTTAAAGTCGAAATCATATCCGTCAAATTGCGTCAATTCTGTTACTAATTACTAAAGGAGATAGGACAAATTGCAATTAGTTTATGATTGAATTCCAATGAATTGATTAGTAATAATAATAATGGATCATTCGTTTATATCATCTTACAGGAAAATCCCTGCAATGTGTGAATGTGCAAACTACGAGTTGA